CATAAGATAAAAAGGACAAATTACAGATTAATTGGAAATCCTTCCCACTGAAGAAATAATTATATTCCATAAACAATCTTTCTCATCGTAATTCCACTTACGTTCACCAGTTTCACGTCCAGAGAGGTACAGATATCAGAAATTTCAACCTCAGCAACATCAATTTCTCGTTGCAACTTCGCTCTGCACTCTTTTGCCTCGTCCACTTTTCTCAAGTAAATTCTGAGACATTCCTGCTCGATTTCAAGGAGCATTTTATCCCTGTCATCCTCAGGCTCCCCAACTTCATCCCAGATTTTCTGTTTCAAAAGTTCAAACACAAGCAAAATGAATATATATAAAAAAAAAAAAAATTACGTTTATGTAGAATCAGAACAGAAACATATCTGCTTCGACAAATCTCCGGAAAATACCTTCAGTTCACAAAGTAAAGATCCGCAAGTTGTTTCAATGTTCTCAAGCTGATCGCTGTAGTGATTCGACATGGATTCAATGATATCTGCAAGAGACACTTTCAAGTGCCAGGAAAATGAGGCGAAAACTCAAAGATCGATATTGAAAACACAAAAAAAAAAGGAAAAAAAAAACTCTTTGTTCCTTTGATTTTTCTTTCATATTCTCGCCACCCAAACAGATTTTAGGATAATTAAGCTAAGTGACAAAATCAAGAAAATTATAACTTAATGGAATAGCAAATAGTAGATTACCCTGATTCTCGGAAACTCCTTCCTCGACGAGGGCTAGCAATAAACAAGAACGAGTGATATCCGGTGAAAGATCCCGATTCCGATCGTGTGATGGGTTGATTTTGCGAAAATGGAACGAATTTGAGCAGATTGTATTTGTATTTGGCGGTGAGATTTGAAATCGTAACGCTTGAATTTTGAGTGGAAATGGGAGGGAGAGAGAAAGGGAGGCGCGGAGAGGGACGTTATGTGGGGAAGAGCGACGAGCGGAGCCTGATCTTGACACGTCATCGGTAAGGTGGGGTCCATTAGCGTGAATAAAAAAAATAAAAAATTATTTATTTATTATAATAACGTTTGTAATTTACGTACCGTAACATACTTGCTCCGTAGTCCGTACTCTTGATTGCAACAAGCATTGGCTGTGGGTAGATATTGTAACCTGTCGCATATGGGACGTCTATCTTATCTTATATGGGTGGGTTAAAGGGAACGAAGAGAGGAGCGGTATAGTTTTTTTTTAGTTTAAATAAATAATTAAATTTTAAACAAAAAATTTTCTTTTTTAAATTTTTTTATAATTGAATAAAAATAGTTTTTTATTGTCCTTCGAACTCCTTCCGCGTAATGGCTTAAAAGTAACAATGAATGATTTTATCCAAACTATTATTCCAAATATATTGTTAGTGATTGGTAACTAAATTTTTTATAGAGATTTTAAATTTTAATTTTAAAATAGATGTGGAGAGTTTAAAAAAAGAAGAGTTATTTTTTTATGGGAAAAATCATATATCAGTTTTAATTTTAAAAAAATAATTGAAGTTTAAATTTTAATTTATTTTATTTTATTTTATTAAAATTTAATTTAAAATTTAAAAAATTATCTTATTAAATATTTATATTTATATTTAAAAAATTATCATATTATAATATATAATGAGTTTTTAAAGATAAATATTAATGTTTAATAAGATGATATTTTAATTTTCAAACATAAGTTATGATTCCGATTATTTTTTAAAATCAGAATGATATGCACTAATCTTATGTTTTACAATATAATTTATTATTATTTAATATATAAAAATATATATTGTTAACTAGTATTGAAATTTAATACTTTTAATATAATTTTTATATATTATTAAATGAGTAAAATTTATACAATAGTATAAATCTTAGTAAAATGAGAAAAAAATCAATCATTAAATAACATATAAAATTGTATTAAAAATGTATAGTAATCATTTTCTAAAAAAAACTTTTATATTCGTTAACGACTTAAATAATTTAATAATTATCTTTTTTCACTGAAATTAAAAAATCCTGAGTTCGAGTCGTATGACATACAAATTGAGTGAAATAAAAAATGTGAAATAATTACCTATTATCACGCAATTAAAATAAAAAAAAAATCTTTTATGTCCAAAAAAATGAAAATAACATTGTGATAATTAATTAAATCATTAGTGATTAAAACATCTTATGTCCAAAAGAATATTAAAAAAAAAGGTGTAATTATGGGAAAATATGTTTTTTCATTGATACGGTAAAACAATAAAAAAAGTTAAAAATTAACATATTATAGTACTAAAAAAATTAAAATATTTAATAATAATCACATAATACCATAAATAAGTATAAAAAAATTAGCACACATTTTATCTCCCACATACTTAATAAATAATAACTATAATTAAACTAATAAAAAATATAATAGAGATCGGATTTCTTATTGTCAAAACCTTTTAATATTTCCCTTTTTCAGTAAGGATAATGGATTATTTTTCTAACTCATACTACAATGGAGGTTATCCACTACGAATTTTCTTAATCGAAATTCACTCTTGCACCAGGACACCATTCCACATAGCATTATAGAGAATGGAACCCATGCCACAGAACAGTTGGTCACCTGACCTATTAACCCAATTGTTAAGCTAAAGGTTCAATTCCATGTTTCTTCTTCTCGAGCTTAAGAAAAACCATCACTCCGGTTCAAAAAGAAAACATTATAAAGAATGATGTTCATGCTACCTTCAGGTATAATAATCCATTGTTATGATTTCTTTCTAAGCTAAAGGTTCATTATAAAGACATCCATAAAATGTCTTATTCTCACATACTAAATAAAAAAATATATGACATTATCTAAATGTAGCATATATAATTAATTAAAATTATTTGTTTACTAATATGATAATGAAAAATTTGATATTTATATTTTAAATATAACTCAAATTATATTTAAATTATAACTACTTTGTCAACACTAATAATTTTTTAGATAACAATTATTCTCATATCCAATTTTGTTAATATTAAGTAAACATTAGAGCTTATTTGAACTTTATAATCTCATTTTTCATATTTCTCTGTTGCCAACTAGAAAAATTTATATCTAGTATGGATGGAGATGACTTTCTTAAGAAAGAAGAAAACCTTTATGAACAATATTGGAAAGAATTTAAATGAAGTAGCTTATCCATCCACATCTTATTTACTTATAGCCTTCCAAAAACCTCAAGACAAAACATGGAAAGCACAATGTCTTAAAAATTGTACCTTTCGTCCTCCTCGCATTACAGAATTTTGCGATAGATCACATCAAATTATCGAGCATCTTATCCATCATCAATCTCTTCCTCCTCCATGTAAGCATCTTTTTACCCTTTCCTCTTTCTTTTTTTGTTTTAAATATAAATATTTTTATATGGTAAGTGGGATCAATCAAGACAAAATTGTCTCTACCTTTGAGATCCTAAC